GCATCAGTCTCTCCAGGTTGGAAAGAACTCGTCCTCGAGTTCGGGGTAGTGTCATCAGAATCCATAAAACAAAGACTGAGGTGTTTCACATTAAAGACATTAGAGGTCCTGAAGTGACTTGGAAGACGCAACCTGTAACCATTATCATTGATCTTCTACAGTACCTCACAAGGCCCAATCTTCTAGTCGTTAAGCTTATTATACTCACCAATAGGAAAACATCACGTGTTAAAACACCCCAGACAAAATCACCAATATCAAAAATAACTCGATGATGATGACTGTCAACCCGAGTTTTGTACTTGGTATTGTTCTAATGAATTGTCAACTTTACTTGCTCATGGATACCCCGAAGATGGTTTGCCTTAAGACTAAAAAGTCTACGTGAGGGATAAGGGCTAAATCCAGCACCTTAGATAGGTTTTAACCATAGACAATTTGAAATGGACTGAAACCAGTGGTTTTGTTTGTCGTCCTGTCAAAGTAAATTCTACTTGAGGTTACGCTAAATCCCACTGCTTTGGCTTAGTTCCCGCCAAACATCTCAAAAGGTTGCCCAAACTTCGGTTTACTACTTCGGTCTGACCATCTGTCTAGGGGTTATAGGAGTTGCTAAAATTTAGTTGTGTCCCCAGACGTCCTCATAAACTCTTACAGAAGAGACTGATGAACTTGGTATCACAATCTAAAGTGATAGATTAAGGAACACCATGTAAACATACTATCTCCCAAAAATAAAGATGGGCAATCCGATTAGCATCCATAGTGTTCTTGCAAGCTACAAAATGGCCCATCTTCGAAAATCTATCAACCATAACAAGGATAGAATCCGTGGCACGTTGGGTATGGGGTAAACCCAACACAAAATCTATGTTGACATCGAACCAAGGACTTCAGGAACAGGCAAAGGAGTGTACATGCCCGCATTGGTGAAAACTCCTTTAGACCACTGACAAGCATAACAATAGTTCACATAATGAGGAACATCACTGGTCAACTTGGGCCAATAAAAGTCAGAAGACATAAGGGCCAATGTCTTATCTCGGCCAA